TGGTGTTGTGTGATTGAGGGGTTGGGGATTTGGGGGGGAGGTTGTGATTGAGTGCCATCTGCATATATCATATGGATTAAGCCACTAGTACCTATCGCGAGGAACTTTTATTAAGCCACTGGTATATTACGGTATTAGATCACATCGCGCTAACTAACAAAAAAAAAAGAAATGGCAAACGTTGAAGACATCAAACAACAATTGGCGAAGGCGGAGGAACAGCTTAGAAAGGCGGAGACAGCGTTGGAGACGTTCAACGAGGACGAGAACAGAGGGAAGTGGTTGGACGAGCTAAGAGGGAAGCTGCGGAGGAGGCGCAACAGAGACGGTGGGAGAAGACAGTGGACGATCTCGCTGCTGAAAAGAAGCGTCTGGAGAAGGCGAAGGAGGATCGTTTGAAGCAGGTGGAGGAGCTGCAAAGAGCCCTCACAAGAGCAAGTACTCAACCAGGTAACGACTTTGTGACTCGGGCGTTGGGGACATAGAGTAGTGTGTACATAAGGCAGATTAAATGGTATAAGGTGGTTATTGGGACGTGTACGTAGGCATATCATATAAATCAATCTACTGCCGTTTCTTCCATGCTTGCATAGAGTGTGCATAATAATATGAGATGTAGTAATATGTTTCTTTGTTCACCATTGCTAGTTCCAGTCACCAAACGCGAAATAGAAGAGTACACTTATGCAGAAATTGAACAGAAGACTAAACGTGTTAAAGGCATGACAATGCCCTCATCCTACTGTAAACCAAAAGAGATGATAAGGTTTCTAGATGAAGAAGATCCTTTTATGTGTAATCATAGGCCTCACGATCCAGAAGTTCCCATTACTTTATATCACCCGACTTTCACACGTTTTCAGGAAAACTGTGCCAGGGCCACTGTTACGAAAGAAGACTGTGCATCGGTCATTGAATTAATCGAACTCATGAGAATGGTTTTCAGATATGAAAGTGAAAGGCAGCACGAGTTTCATTCATGGGCATCCAAATACTTTAACTTAGCCGTTGGTAAATTACCTCTTCCTGGAGAGCATCAAGAAGCGGATATAGGTGCTGTTGCAACTATTGGACAATTTTCATTTGCACTCCTTGTTGGCAAAATTAAAAATGAGATTGGAGAAGGGGGTGGGTGTGCATACATACAATCCTGTGCTTCTTATACAAAGCTGATTGGCCTAAACAATAGTGATATAGTACGTCAAGGGCTTAATCCTGCTTTTCTTCTTTACCTTTGTGGACCTTATCTGGGCATCAGCAGAGCTGTTTTAGGCAAGGACTTTACCATGGAACCTCTTACCCCAATCTTTCCACTCCTGTTTATGAAAAATGATCCAAATGCAATGGAAGCTCTAGCTCATGTACTTGTGGCATTGAAGACTGGCCTTCATGAGCTGAATGATTATTATCAAGTATGTTATTGACAGGTTCACTGTGTTGACACTGGTAACTCTTACGTGAGGACAGTTTTCCATATGTTCACAAGTTTGTGACAGAGTCAGGGGAATTTGGTTTTTCTTATGTGAAGCAAATATGTAGTGGAAAGCTACTCTTTTTGGTGAAAGGAAAGACTGGTGATTTTCAGGACAAATTGATGGTTCTGAAATTCACCAAAAGATATGGTATAGATGGTCACAATTACTGTGCAAAAAAGAAAGTTGCCCCTGAAGTCTATGCACATAATAATAGAACTAGTTGGACCATGGTTGTCATGGAATATCTATCAGAGGAAGAATACATCACTGCCCATACTGCTATTTATGACCGGAAGCAAGATCGAAAGGTATTGTTGAAGAAAGCAGAAGATACTGTCAGTATCTTACATGCTGGAGGTTTTGCACATGGTGACTTGTGGGCATCAAACATTATGGTTTCACATGATATGATGCAAATGAAAGTTATAGATTTCGATTGGTGTGGGCTTGATGGGAGTGCTACTTATCCACATTTTATCAGCACCAACATTCCATGGCACCATAGTGTTGATTGTGGAAAACCAATTAAAAAAGAACATGATATGTACTTGTTGAAAAAATCTTTTGAATGACAATACTTCAGGAAATCGTATTTACTGTAATGTTTAAACTCAATGACTAATAAACATGTGGACATTGATCAATTTCTTGTTAAAATATTACTCGCAACCTCGTAAATAAAAATTGACTATTCTATTTTTATAGAACAATTTATCAAACATCATTAAAATTAAACGATACAAATTGTAAAATTATATATAGGATTACCCGTATATGAAAAACAACGAATATAACGGCTCCACCGAATATGACAAGGCAATACATTTCTTAGAGACAGGTTGCAAATGTGGTTGCGCAAAAATGATTCCGAGAGAAAGGTTTGCCGAATTACGTGAAGCGTTTCAAGCACTCTCTAGATCTGAATAAGATATATTTTTAATGGCCCAGCTGAAAGCGATGAACGGTGGAGAAATAACTGCCAGTCGACGTCTTAAAAAGAAAACGCGTACTAATCAAAGAACTTTTTATTATTGAGATCGCAATACCCCTCTTTGCCAACAAACGTATCTAAATATGTTAGGAATTGGCCGCACACACTTCGAAAACGTCAGAAATCATCTGGCAACGAATGGTATAATAATAATACCTCGCGTTCATGGTAATGTAAAAAGAGTGCCGCGATGGAAGACCAAAATAACCATCGATATAACAGTTGCTACCATCGTGAAGAATTTTCTCGAAAACTATGCTGAAATTCATGGATTACCAAGTCCTGGTAGAAACGTCAATCGAATTACCCAATCGCTTACACTATTGCCAGCTGAAACGAGTTATAAATCAGTCTATCGTGATTTTATTGCAGGTCTCGAAAACGATAGCACATTGAAATTGTTAAAATATGATGCGTTCCGCAAGTTATGGCACCAATTCAATTAACGCCATATATTCAAATCATGAGTCCAAGAACGGATTTATGCGACATGTGCCAACATTTTCGGAACGGCTTACAATACAATGCTCGCAAGGAAGAAGAAGCAAGAGACTTACTAAAGAAATTCAAAGAACATCTAATTAAAGCTAAATTAGAGAGAAATTATTACGAAATTAGCAGAACAACAGAGAAAATTGGTAGATGAGCATTTTACGACGAAGCAAAGCTGATTATTGTAGTACTGCCTATTACAGTTACGATTGGGCACAAAACGTTCACGTTCCACATTCCGATCAACAGGTAAGTAAGATTTATTATCTTAGTCCGCGTAAAGTGCATTTATTTGGTAGCAGTACGCGAACAAATTAATTATGTTCTCGATGCAGACGAAATTATCGGCAAAGGGGTCCTAATGGTACGCTGAGCCTGGTATTTGATGGAATAAAAAAATTAAATAAAGGTGAAAAGTATTTAAAGATCACTTGCGATAATGCAGGAGGACAGAATAAAAATAACGCCACTATTTGATTTTACTTATTATTATATTTAGTAATTTGCGGTTATTACGAAAGTATCGAATTAAATTTTATGGTACCTGGACATACTAAATTCAAGTGTGATGGTAGTTTTGGATTAATTAAGAAACTGTACTGCAAAACAACGGTAGATTGTGTGGATCATATTGTCGAGGTTGTGAAAAAATCGAGCATAGCGGGATTAAACAAGGCTCAGTGCTACGAAAACGGCAAAGGCTTTCAATATTTAGATCTTAATTCTGTGCTGGGGATTTTCTTTAAAAAATTGAATGGTTTACAAAAAATCAGCATTTTGTATTTGAAGCAGCCAGTCCTGGGGTTGTCAAAACTCAGCTGGTTGCTAATGGTTCATATACTGAATTTAATACTAGAAAGGCAAGTGTTTCCCAAATTACCAAAGAAATTAAATCTTTTTCTATTTTAGTTCTAACTCCGCCTCCTTTGGATTATAAATGACAAGAATATCTTTATCATAATATTCGCCCATTTGTTAGAGATGAATTCAAGGATATTACTTGTCCAAGACCAACCTACACTGATAATGAATAAAAATATTTCAGTCAACAAATTTTATTACTTTATTAGTTTTTGTTTGTTCTATTAAATTCTTTATATTTAATTTTTTAATATTAAAATAATAATATAGGAATTAAAATCATGACATTCAAAAAAGATGGTATAAATACAATAGATGAAGCAAAGAAATACTCCAATTATTATGGAGGAGTCATTAAACCAGAAGAAAAGTCTATCTTTGATAGCAATCTTTTAAAACACTCCTTCAAGATACTGCTCAGTTATTAAACAATTGAAGAGAATTCAGAGAAAAAATAAAAAAGGAAAAAATGGGGTTAAGTTCAAAAAGTCATAATTTATTGGCTTCCATCTTAAAAGAGCAAAAAGCTGAATCTATTCCTTATCAAGTTGTTAATAATCTAAATGACAATAAACCAGTTGATAAGGTTGTTAGTCAGTTTGAAGATATT